GTGTATGTATGTATGTATGTATGTATGTATGTATGTATGTATGTATGTATGTATGTATGTATTTATCTAACTTTTTATTTCTATAGTATCTATATAAATATCTATCTCTATCTCTCTCTCTCTCTCTCTCTCTCTCTGTGTGTGTGTGTGTGTGTGTGTGTGTGTGTGTGTGTGTGTGTATGTGTGTGTCTCTCTGTCTTCCTTTCGCTTTCTATTTCCTGTCCCTTACTCTCTCTTTCTCCTTCGCCCCCCCCCCCTTTTCCCTTTATATGTGTCTCTCTATTATTTTATTATTTTCTCCCCGTCTCTATTTTGTTTCTTGTCATGCTATACCACAATCCCTTAATTACGTGTTTGTACCAGTTTTGTGGTCAATGAGCTTGGGAGTGGTATTTTTTTTTCTTTTTTGGGGGGGTCTGTTTTTGTTCTTTTAACACGCCATTCATGTAAAATTCAAAATACACGTGCATTTACATACACCCTCTCTGATACCCGTATTCATCTAACAGTACACGGAAATAAAGGGGAGTATCTGCTATGAAGATTGTAGACTCTTCCGTGCAACGGACAGAATAATATGTGAGTTCAATTCCCTCTGAGGGCACATATTGTACCGAGTATGTCCGTCTGTCTGCATGAATGCCCTATCATGCTCAGTGTACGTTGGCTTAAAGAAATCCTCTTCTATTGATTTGTTTTGTATAGATTTTACGTTTCTTTTATCTGAACTCTTATACAAGGAAGTGTCGAAGGGAAATAGATTTGGGGGACGTGGGCAAGGTGTAATGCTATTTGGATCGTTATGTTGTTCCTCTCGCGGTTTTTCTTGCTTTGATACAAGAATAAATTACGTAAAACAATCTGCAATTTAGAGTTTAGGCAGGATTTACAACACGAATTGACATTTAACAAAGAGAGACGACAGCAACTGCAATAGCGTGGATTTTCTCTAGCCTTTATTCAACAATTTGTTTAAAGACGATAGCTTTCCGAACGCGTACGTGGTTGTAGACTGTCTGAAATCCATGTTCACATGACGGTAGATAATTATTTTGTTGCTACACCTCTAACTTGACTCCTTGGTGAAATATCTCTTCGCAACAATGTTCTGCTCTATCGCAGTACAGGTCTGTTGGGAAAGAACATAAAAAACAACAACTTATAATCCATTCATAAATTGCACCATTATTATTCTAATTATGTATAGGGGCCTTTTAAGACCCAACTATGACAGAGAATCGATACAAGTTTCACTATTTGTTTTAATAAATGTACAATACTCGTATATTGTATTGCTTTTTTACATAATGGTATGTGTAAGATATATTCGCATGCAAACACGTTTTCAAATTAGACAACACAGGTTGGCATTTAGTTCATCGATTGAAAAAAAAAAGAATTATCTATCTATCAATCTTTCTATCTATCTCTCTCTCTCTTCCTCTCTCTCTCTCTATCTATCTTTCTATCTTATCTATCTATCTATCTATCTATCTATCTATCTATCTATCTATCTATCTATCTATCTATCTATCTATCTATCTATCTGTCTATCTGTCTATCTATCTTTATATCGATCTATCAATCTATCTATCTATCTATCTATCTAGCCACCTATCTATCTCGTTTAATGACGTCACCTTATTTATAAGCTCAGATCAAACTGTTTCCAAATCCCCTTTTTTCAACCTTGCACATGAGAACTAGAAACATGATTAAAAGAAAACAAACGACAAACATATTTCCTCACAGAAGCACACACTCCAAACAGCGCGTAAGGACACACACTTACACACATACACACATACACACACAAACACAGACACACACACACACACACACACACACACACACACTTTCTCTCTCTCTACCCCCCTCTCTCTCTCTCTCTCTCTCTCTCTCTCTCTCTCTCTCTCTCTCTCTCTCTCTCTCTCTCTCTCTCTCTCTCTCTCTCTCTCACACACACACACACACACACACACACACACACATACACACACAAAATTTGTGTTTGTATATCTATAATGCACCACCTGGCCGAACCTACCAGAACCATTTTGCCGTCATCTGTGACCTCTCGCTCATACTTGTTTGGTGTATCTCCCTCGTTGATTGGCTCCTCAAGACCTATTAGCTTGTTACCTTCAACTGTGAATGTGGTCTGGGTAAAGCAAAAACACGAACATAAATTATTGATTCAAGCTAACATCCACACTTTAACATTTTCTCTTTGCTGGTTGTTATTATGTCAGTATAAGATTGCTTGGCTGTCATCAAGTATTCTTTCTCCCCCCCCCCCCCTTTTCCCTAAAAAATTAATGAACTATTTACAAAGACCAGACTGAACAGTCATCGGCTACTGAACATAGGGGGAACCCAAACATTCGCACAGTTCAATATCGGTTGTCTCTGCCTACACCTCACCGGTCACTGTTCACCCTCCTATTTTTCCCCCCCCCCCTTTTCCCTAAAAAAAACAACTACAAAAATGTTTAAGAAAACTCTGTTGATTTTTTATTGTTTTTGTTTTTTTCATTCGTCCCTTTCGTAGAGTTTTTCTTAATTAAAAGAGGTTAGAGGGTGCTCTTCTTTTGTTTGCTCCTTCTTTCCTATCAAACATTTATTGTACGTCCCTACCTCTCCTATTTCGTTTGTGTTGTAATTACTCTCTTTTAACATCTCTAAGCTGCAGCACTTATATGATCTAACTGTGTAACAAGTGCCGTAACACTTTTGCTAAAACAAAAACAAATAGATCTACATATTATTCTACTTTCTTATTCTTGTATACCTTCATGGTTCGTCCATCCAAAGTCTGCATCTCGAAAGGTTCGCCCAACTTAAACACAAGTTTGGAGTTTTTGAAGGTTGAGGTGATGTTGAGGGTCCACTCGTCCCCGTCGCGGGAGATCTCCTCATGGTTCGTAATGGTGTTCCCGACCTTACGGAGAGCGATGTTCACCTCTGGACAATACAGACGGAAGTTGTTTTTTTTTAGCGATTTGAGGATGTACTGGACACATATCGCTACCCATGAATCACAAAGCTCTATCTGCTCAATACTTAGTTCTGTTGTCAAAAATATCTTGGTAACGGCTCCGACCAATCTGACGATTTTAATAGAGCAGACAGAACATTTGGTTTCTTACCGCATGGTCTTAGTAACTCAAGACAGCATGGCAAAACATGTGAGATAGAACTTTGTAATTCTGAGACACTGATAAATTCAACCATATGTGTAT